GTGTTGTGAATCTAAGTGGATCGCAGGACTGCAGCGAAGCAAACGATAAGTCCTTATTTTCGTATTTAAAGTGTTAACTATTTTACCATCCTTTTCATCATAATTATTATGTTGATATCCCCTGCAACTATCCAACGGGGCTTGTAAAGCAACGCTTTTTAACCCGTATAAATTCATTGTTCATTGTTCATTGTTCAAAGCCAGAGATAAATTACGAAAAGTGAAGTTGTAAGGCTACGCAAGCTTTACAAAGTGCCGTGGAGAGTAAAACTGTCTATGTCGTTAACGTTTACTGGTAATAAATCTGTCGGATAAGGGTGTCAAAAAGTGAAAGGTGATTGTTAGGTAGCAAAGTCTAATACTGGTAGTTCTACGCAGTGAAGTGCGGAGCCACAATGCGAAGGGTAAATCGTCGGTTCCGCGGAGGTAAGTGGCACTTACTAGAGAGTAAAATCCAGAGCTAATGAGGTAGGGGAAGATATGTGCAAAGCAAGGCAATACTAAGCGGGGTGAGGAGCGTCTACGTAGGGGCGTTGCGCTTAAACCGGGAACAATTACTAGCCATGCCCATCGACGTCTGCTGAGGGGGAAGTATATAGGTGAGCAACATAGTCAAATCTTGGAAGAATTTTACACCACTGCGGAGATGCAAAGTCAAGAACGGGTTGTTAGAGCATTGAAGGAAGGTGGTGGGTATGAGGCTATGATAGCCAAGGTCAAAGACATAGGAGAAGGAGTAACATTTGCCAGTGGATACGAAGTGACCTGAAGTGGGACTATGCGGTATTGTTAAAGCTAGACATAGGAACGATTATTCCTGATATCCACTTCAGCTTGGATTTTAAGCATATTGGTGGGCAGCAGAACAAAGCATTTGGGGCCGTACGCACAAAATTTCGGAGCTGCCTTGTCATAGGTGTCGGTGAAGCCGCGCAGGTTGGTGGTTTATTCCAGGAAATAAGAAACAGAGCTAAAGAAATAAAGAGTTTTTGCGGCCAGCTAGGGGCTAATGAGCGGGGTGAGGAGATAAAGGTCGTGTTGTTGTGATTAATAGGAGACCGAGTACTAGCATTGCCGAAAAGTGTTTACTTAGTGGGAAAGCTGTATGTGCGTGCATTAGCAAAAACTAGAAGAACGCTGCCCAAAAGTGAGGAACTACGGTGTCAGAGTTATGTCGCTGGAGCAGCGGTGGTAGGTGGTGTTAAGAGGAAATGTGAACGGGAGCCAGAGGGAAAAGAGAAGTAGGACTAAGTAGGGGTTACGAAGCAAGGAGAAGATGGAGTGTGTAGTATTGTTAAGGTTAAATTGACGGACAAATATTTGTGACCTCGATGTCAGCCTGGGGTTAAGGATATAACCAGGCAGCCTAGCCAACCACTTGAAGTCATACACACAAAAGTGCGGAGCTACATTGTTCAAGGTAGCTAGGTGTAGCAGGGGAGATAGCTGGTGCGTTGGAGGAAATGGAAGCCAGAGCCAGAGAGATTGGAGAGGGAGTAGGACTATGCATGGAAAATGAAGCAAGGATAAGGGAGGCTGTGTCGTGTTTTTGAGGTTAAATTGAGGGACAATTACTGGTGATAACAATAGCAGCTTGATGGTAAGGATAAAGGTGAGCAATGTAGCCAAATACTTGAGATTCGACGCACAAAAGTGCGTAGCTACACGGTCAATGGTACTTCCTAGGAATGATATAAATGTAGTAGGATTAGTATAAATAAAGCTTCTATGTGGAAGAGGGTAGCCTTATAGGTAGATAGGTCGTTGTTCCCATAGCTTAGCTTCAGATAGATATATTTGTGGTAGGATAGCTATGTGATTTGGGTTGTGGAGCAGTATGAGCCCATGGGAATCAATGGTTTTGACAACCTGTCCTAGGCGATTTACTACAGAGCCAATTATTGTGCAAAGAAACGGCTTGAATTGTGAGCTTGAGGTGCTATCCCTGTTAGTAAATGGTGGCAAATGCCCCCGGTATTTAGGACAGGATAATGGGGGCTCTGAGGCTCTTCAACGGGCTATGTCCAGACCCTGGTCTGCAGTGTAGTTGTCCACTATCAGTTTACTGAAATGTTCAGTGCATGTAAAGGCGACCTTGATCAATCATTGACCGGTTTCAAGGACTCCTGCCGGATCATTACCAAGCCAATAGGTTAACCAAGAAAGAATTTTGGCCGTCAACCGACTGTGCATACTAGAGCGCCAAATCGGTCTGTACGATGCATAGCCGCCTAGCACCACTGTTCAACGGAAGCTACAGCAGTGTTCCAGGAAGTGGGGTCGTTTCGGTTGGCAAGCCTTCTCCACATAAAAGTCAAAGTGGCCGCTAAACAACACTGCAACGTGGCGGACGTGACTCGCCACTGAATAAACTCACAGCTGAACATTTCGCACTGACGCAGTCCTCAGCCTTCTACGTACAACCTGTGCAACTGAGTTTACTACGAAGAATGCTTTGATAAAGCACAGCTCATTCTGATATCGCAATGGGCATCGATTGCACCAAAACCTTGTTTTGGCTCCTCTGCTAATGGATTACTACATGGCAATATCACGTCCAACTTGTATCTTTACACAACAGTTATGACTTATTTTTACGCGCCCCAGCGCCATCATGTTCTCTGGTCTGACTATTACCTGACAAAATGCTCACTCGCATGAACCATATCTTTTCCGGTACACCTTTCATTAAAACGTAATGTTTGATTATTCCAAAGAGGCTATGCCTTTATGCCTATTTGATCACGCCTTTACAGGTGTGTCTCGTTTTACCGGGAAAATGTCATTTATTTATTTGCTATGCTCATTGAAAATGAAATCGCTCATGTGAGTCATCAGGCTCATCTAGGGGTCGTCGACAGTCGCAATTTGTTCTCAGGTGACAGCTGGAAGGTGTCAGCTAGCAAAGGGTTTCAGATGTTATGATTTATCCCACGTTATTTTGGAAATATACAGCTGACGTGCTTGCGGAACCGTTTGCAGCTTGCGCGACTCCACCTAGGTTACTGAGTTCAGGACTGCGCAATATCCTTTGTCATGAATAAAATGACACTGAAAAGGGTGTTGCCTTTCGGTATTAGGTTGGTCGAAGCGCTAAATGAATGACGGTGCTTTAAGGACCTATGTAGTATGGAAATGCATTCAATGCAATATTTGAAAGCTTAGCGGTGACCCATACCTGACCTACGTAATTTAATTGGATAGTTGGTCCTGGATGCTTCTGTAATGTTTAGTCCAGCTGAATTTCCTGGCCTCTGCAGGTATTCTATGAACCTGGACAAAGCGAGGTCCCACCTGCCTAGATTCAAAGTTCGGCCAACATGCCGCGTAGGCAAGTGCTGGAACTTGCTCCCAGAACGTACTTCAGGTAATACACGTTAAATGGGCTTGGTATTTAATTAGCCGCGACACGAAATATTTGGCTTTTCGAGACAGCTACTATAATCGTACTTGGATGTTATTGTCGGTTTTTCATCCCCATTGGTATTTTCTCTTAGCTTTTAGTTCTTTTCCTATCTCCCGTTTAATGCACATTATCGGCAGAACAACCACTGCTAGTGCTGTGGACGTGAGCATTGAAGTATATGTTCCGTTGAGTGTTCCGAGTTCTTCTGGGTCCGCAGTGATCGTGCGTCATAATAAACCGAGGTGACTGAAATGCAAAGGTGTTACTTCGTACGTGGATCGACAGGTAATGCTTAACCAACCAGTAAGAGTCGAATGTTGGATGCAGAGTGTCCCCATTACAATTGGCGAGCTGGTTGGCACTGCCACAGCTGCTTATGTAGGACCGGGAATGCCTGACTGCATGGAAGGCGTGAAAACTCGCATCATATATAGTTGCTCTAATAATACTGGAGTCGAACTGGGAAGGCAAATAGAAGGGTAGCTACAATCAAAATCGAGCCTACGCACAATGACATCTTACCTGTTGCCTTGCTGCAGCGATACGCTGACGCACTAACTTATCCATCCTCTTGTGAGGCGCTGTCCACAGTGCATGTAGAAGCCCTGCCCCGTGACAGCATGTGATGCATAGCAAGGCTAAGGAGCGCCATGACAGGCTTGGATGATTCCGCAAGTGGGAAGTATAATGATCGCTGTAACGGTCAAAGTCCTGCTTTAGGGACTGGCGTTATGAGTTGGCAGGGTCACCAAATATGTTGTATTAGTCCGGTTGAGGATCCCGGAAACTTCAGTGCTCAGGAGGTTGCTGGGTCGTTATAGACTGAGAAGATTGAACGGCAAAAGGATATTTCGTAGGTGGCTGGCTAGTTACCTCACAACCAACTAATAAAAGCTGGAGGTGTACGGAGCGGGAACTTACTGCACCTCATGGCGCTTTGGACGGCATTGTCACAGCCGCTGATGGAGGACCGGGAATGCCATGGTTCAATGGACTGCGCGAAAACTCGACGAAGTGAGGGCTGCTCTAACGGTACTCAAGACGAATTAGGAGGGCTAACAGAAGATTGATAGACAAACACAACCCAGGCAACGCTCGACGACATCTTACGTGTTGAATTGCTGCAGCGACACCGAGGCGCTACAAGCAGTAAATTGTTGTTCGCGGTATGATTTGGGTGTCCCGTTTAAGGCACTTTAAGAACTCGAAGCACCTGCTACTCTCCTGGAGCAACGAAATGTTTAAACGAGCTATCATTCCAGTCTCACCTACACTTGAAGCGTAGTTGATTTTTCTATTGATTAATGGTCCAGTGTGATCAACGGAACACGAACGGAAACCAACTGGGATTAGTGGCAGTAAAACTGGGTATATTAGGCTGTATCTACAGGCTGCGGTGCATTTCGGCAGGCGCCGATTTGGTCACCACACGTGCTAGTTTTGGCAGTCAAGCTACGAAACTTTGCGAGCACGAGTATAAGCAGCGACAGTGTTACACGACATTTGAGTTTTTGTGCCATTCTAGTAATTAATAGTTTGCCCGTATTGCTTTTGTGTTTGGAAGCTTACAAATCTTTTTCATCGTTTGACAGAGCCTAGGTCGTTGGGTGACCTTGGGACCTTCGTTTTTCGCGGATTAATGCTTGCAATTGTAAGTCGCCCTTGTTTCACGTGGGTAGTGTGATATTTTTCGATATCGTACTAACTTGCTTCGTTTTTCAGTCAAACAATATTTCTCTGGAGTCAAACATGAGCAGTGCTACTGTTAGTAGCGTTAAGCACCCGGACGGTCGGCCACGGCAGGCGGATGCTGTCTCTGTGGTCGTTCACAGCCTCATGTGCTACAGACAGAATGGCGAATCTAAAGAATTTGCCATGCGTGCCATCGAAAGTCTTGTTAAAAAAATAAAGGAAAAAAGGGAGTCTCTCGATTCGTTGCTAACGGCCGTGAGCTCCAACGGTATGCAACCCAGCGGTTGCGTTACCATCCAACGGACACTTGATGGCCGTATGCAGGTAACTAGATGCATCACGAGAACTAACATCTTAGATTGCGGGTCGAAAGTGTCTCCCACACGTTATATACGCAAGAATCTGGAGGTGGCCTGACCTCCACCGCAACGAGTTAAAGCATTGCAAATTTTGTCCTTTCGGTTTTGACTTGAAGCAGGATTGTGTTTGCATCAATCCGTATCACTATGAGAGAATTGTTTCACCCGTGGATTTTAGTGCTCTAAGTTTGAGCCCACCGGATGATCAAGAAAGTGAGTCCGCCTAAGTGACGTTTACGTAGAACATAATAATTGTTCCGCGTTGCATTCCACTCTGATGATGTAAAGCGATTTATCCTAACTCTAGAGCTATGATAGAGCTACTTGTCTTCCATTTTTGCTTGCTAATACTGCATGGTCAACCATACTTGCGACGGTTTATTTCCGAAGATAAGTATGAACGTACTTCATGATCGCTTGTTCGTTCAACGTGTTTGCGCAGCCCAAAAGTATACCATCAGCATTACCCTTAGAAAGGCCTGTGGATACGGAATGCAGTTCATACTACTTACTAATTTAGACTCAAAATATAATCCTTTTGGACGACGTACCGTATATCGGCTGCCAGTAATGCCGCGAAGGAGTCTAACGAATAGCGTTTCACTCGTCACAGGGACTGGACGTAGTGCCACGGTTCGCGTACCTTCTTGACCCAATGAGCTATACTGGGTGGTACCCCTGGGCCTCTTGAGAGCTATTCCTACCAGGTTCATCAATGGTAAGAGGTCAGACAAACTCCGTTTCCTGGTCCTCCAGGTTGGGGGTTTGAAATGGGATGGCGTCCATTTTTGTAAAACTAAACCATTGCCCCCTCCGCGCTGTCTTGCGAACAGGCTTTTCAGTCAAAGGTTTTGGTTGAGAACCGTAACCGTCCTGTCTAGATCTGGGCGCCCTGACAGTATCTCAGCCCACATACAACCATGACATTTTCTTCAAACATAAACTTCATCCTGCATCGGCCGTCGCGCAGATTATCAAGGATCGCCTTATCTGCTGCATACAGCAGGGCGGATAGGCGAAAACATGCTACTGCTGGTGCCCTTTCTTTTCCACCTGTTTCTCTTACTCCCATCCCGACCCCCATTACTAACCTTCCTTCTATACTTTCCAGCTTAATTGACAGCAACCGAAGTGCCACTAGAATAGAACCATCCGCAGCCAACTTCCCACAGCACACATCAGACACATATCTGCAACAGCCTCTGAATAGGTCGCGCTGTCTAATTCCATGGCGGCGTTCAGCGTTCGCACTCCAAGACAATTAGGTCATCAGACTTCCCTTGGACACACTACTTATTGATGTGTGTCCGAACCTAGGGTCAGTGGCCTTAATGGGATTGTTAAATTAACTGCACCTGGTTGGTCCTCTCGTTATTGATTGCACGCATCCGGAGACGCCGATGCAGCACTGAGGGGTCAAGCTAGTGTAGATATCATTCAAGCTCGAAGGTTGAGCCATTGTTGGTTGATTAGATTTCGGTGAACAGCCGTTTATGTGCAGCCCGTTTGACGACATCAGCCAAGGTGGATTCACGAAATAGTACAAACGCTGTTTGTTCGTGATTTCCGCTTATGCTCTCACTGACTGCCGTTCAAATGCTGTCAAACACACGGACTATCGTGAAGTGAATGCGCTTCTACGGAGTGATACTATTTCAGATGTTATAGTACTTGCAAGGGATATGAACGCACAAGTGGGGCGTCTGAGCTCTTCAGAAGCTCAGTTGGGTGGTAGTTATGGGCTTAACTCCGAACGGACTGACAGCGGCGAGCGTCTGCTGCAACTGTTTGCGTAGTACCAGTTGTTTCTTGGTAACCCTGCTTTTGGATACAGTAGACGCCGAAGTACCATTTGGCGTCCTCCTGTAGCTGGCCAGCGATGGCCCCAAATTGACCACATTGCCATAAGTTACATGTGGCGTGGTTCCATCATTTGTGGTCCGCTCGTACTGGAATACTTGTGTCGACTCTGATGATGCCTTAGTACGCTGTAGTTTTTCCATAAACTTTACCGGGAGGCGCACCAAGTGTCTCCCTCGATTGGCAACTGTGAAATTATCTCAGCCCTCGGTCAGACAAGCCTATGAAGAATCACTGCGTACCGAACTTTCTCGTCCTAATGACGCTGAGCTTCAGTGGAATAGGATCTCGGCCGCCATTCACGACACGGAGACATCTGCTTCTGGCACTATCAATGGTCGCCACACCAATCACTGGATATCCGAGAGGTCGGTGAATCTCTTGGGATCCAGAAGAAACCTCCCGACTAGCTCTGAGCACAATGTGACCAGACGGACTATTAGGCGCGAACTAAAGCGGAACCTACGTACTGACAAGGAAGCTTGATAGACCAGTTGGACTTAACAAATGAGTGAGGCAGGAGCAGTAAGTTCTTGCGGCTGATCCGCGCCACTTGTCCTAGGAAACCAGGCGTCAGTGAGATAATCAGACAGCGCGGGTGCACTGATGCACAGTAAGGAGCGCCGTATGGCTTGGGCGGAACACTTTCAAGAGCAGTTCAGCTGGCCCCTTGCTCCCGGACCTCTTCTTACTCAGCTGATGCAGGATAAGGCGTGGACTGTTAGTTTGGTGCCACCATCGGAGTCCGAGGTCCGAAACGCGATCACAGCCGTCAATCATTTTCGTGCCGCTGGCCCGGATTCCGTCCCACATGCACTATTTAACGGAGGTTAGGTCCTTTGCAAAACACTGACCTCCCTATTCGAACCTATCTGAAAGTGTCTCGACTAACTGGAGCGAATCGATTATAGGGGCAACATACAATCAGGGAAGTTGCACAGACTGCTAACCATATGGGTATTAGCCTAACGCCAGTTGTGACAAAATTACTGACCTCGATTCTCGTTCTTCGCCTCACTGTGGAACGGGAATCTCGGATTAGGGAAGAGCAGGCAGGTTTCCGCCCAGGACGTGGCTGTATAGACTATATATTCCTCTCTGAAAGGCCGTGCACACAACGCCACAGTGAAGACCGTCCTGCTCTATGCTAGTGAAACGTGGCCCCTTCGGTCTGAATATCTGAGGCGTTTTCAAGTCTTTGATCATCGTTGTCTGCGAAGCGTTGCTGATGTCGGATGGCACCAGCTGTCCGCAACAATGATGTACATAGGCGAGTACTAGGGGGTGATAATCATGCTAGCTCCCCATAACAACAGTTAGCACTGAAAAAGTTGCGTTGGCTTGGGCACGTACTACGTATGCCTGGTCACTGCTTACCTAGGAAGGCCTTGTTTAGTCTGTCAGGTGTAGCATGGCGCAAAGCTGGAGAGGGACAGAAGTTGTCTTGGCAGCGGGAAATGACTGACGGCCAAACTGGGTGCCGTTGGTCCGTCTCGCCTTCCGGGCTGAAGTCCACCTGATTCGGCTTGTGCTTGGCTCGAGACTTTACAGGACATGGCTCGCAACCGACACCAGTGGCGCGTCTGCTGCCGTCTCTTAGTCGGATTGCCTATTTAAATTATGTTTGGTGCTGAGTTATCTGCGAGGTAATGGCTGTTTATGACACACGGTACAGTGAAAGCCGCAAGGAAGCTGTCTCGCCGATGCCGTCTTATCTTTGCGCGATAGCCAACTGTTTGAGACGGTATGTTATTAACATAAGGTGTAGGCGCCTTGCTCCTGAATGTTTGCTTAGGGCATTAAGGTTTTCAGGTAAGTCCCCCTTCTCTCCCTCTTATTATTTTTTATTCCATGGGTTATCATGGTTGTATGGCAGCGAGATATCAGTTCAACTGGCTGTTATACTGCTGTTGTTTATGATAATGACTGAAGTCAGATTTACTGCATCAATGTTTATGCTGAGGAACCACTTTCACTTGCCTCTGATATCAAACCTGCTTGTAGTGACAATTTCTTGACCTGCGTTTTAATTAACGTAGCTTGTGCCTTCTCTAACTGCTCTTGCTGCTTCTGCAACAGAGCCTGCAAGTGTTCAAAACTAACTGACATCTTTTGGTCCTTCTGAATTGCCCGTCGCCACTGTAGTACTGCTGCGCTGCTTCGCCTGTGAGACTGCGACCGTTTGCCTGCTCAGCTACGCCCCCAACCAACCAACGGAAATCAAAACCTAAGGCTCGGTTGACGAGGTATCTTCTGCAAAGTAGTTCGTCTCTATTTATTATTGAAACACATACAGTCGAACGTGTCTAAGGCGACCACTCAACGGACCAACAGAAAGTGTTCGCTTTGGACAGGTGGCCGCCGCGTAGAGACATTAATCATAGGAGAAAACGTTGGGATGTTTGGCTGGTCGCCATAGCAAGTTAGCCTGTACTAGTTTTGGAAAGTATGGTCACCTGATCTTCTTCCTTTGGTCTTCAGCCAATGTGAGTGAGCTCCGTTCCACTGGTTTGCCATATATGGCTGAATCGTTTGCCTCCGTGTTCGACTCCGCTCAAACCCTGACCGCCGGCTTGAGTTTGCTGGCCAATCATTTGACGTCTGATTCCCAACTTCGCCAGAATAGGCGAACGTAGTTTCTTGCCCGTGCACACACACAGTTGACTGATCACGTGCTCCCCGGCAAGCTGACGTGCATTGTAGCCACCGTGCGGGGTTGCCGCCGAGTGCGTTGACGTTGATACCACTTGGGCTCTTATTACTCTCTAATCACCAACTTACAGGTTTTATTCCGTAGACTGCAAACGTTTTTACAGGTACAAATGTTATGCAGTTGTAAACACATCTAGTTTATTTAACTTGTATACCTTTTTTGAGTCACCCTGTATATATAGGCAAATTCAGTCTCATTTCACCACTATACGGATTCTGTAAGTGGTTTTCGCGTCTGACTAATTTACTGGTGATTCGTGAGCGTTAAACTAGTGCCGCCGACAGCCGCTTCACCATAGACGTGATGTTCGTGTGCTCGAAAGTTTTTATCACTGTCACTCTGCGACTCATAAAAGTTAGGACCTTACGGAATGTCTAGTGACACTCTTAAATGAGTGTCTGCTTTTCTGGAGCGAGGAAAACAGTGTGCGCATGAGTGGTAGCCTTTCACCTATGCAAGCTCTGCCTAGTAGCGTCCCTCAGGACTTGGTATTAGGGCCATTACTTTTCATGATTTATGTAAATGAATTGCCCGAGAAGTTTACTGCACCGTCGCCATTTTAATGATGACCTTATGCTCTGGAATATTGGGATGTTCCTGGGAGTTCTCAAGAAGTTCCGAATATCTTGCATAGGCCTTGGGCATCATCTACCTTATGGTTGATGCCCACTAGTCAGGCAAGTCGGCCAATGGACGAAACGACTACACGCCTGTGTTGTAATTCTGCGGCCGGAATCCGCGTAACTGCTGATCACCTCGAAGTAGACCCAGCCCACGTGCGGCCGTTGGTGGTCGCATGACACCGGAGAGTCTGTACTTTGTGCCCGCGTACTACTGATCATCTTTTTATAAATCGGGCGAAGTGTTCTGTTCTCCGTATCGAGGCTACTAGCCTCCCCACGGGATATATGGTTGGCGAAAGAGTTATCCCTGCCGTCACTCAGCATATTGGTCAAATATCGTCCACCCTTCAGCTCGTCATCCGGGTGAAAACTTGATGGCTCTTTTTAAAGGATTCCGTTTTATGTGGTTTATACACTGCTTCTTAGCTGGCGATAAGTTTATTAAGCTATTCTCGGTTGTCCTGTGACCCCACTTAGAATGCTGTGTCCAGGCCTGTCCATTATATATTTGGGACAAGCTGGAACTGGATGGGGTTTTAGGAGTTGGTACTAGGTTAGTGCCGAGCTTACGGGGACGGACATATCCTAGACGTTTGCTTAGTTTGGGAACGTACATAATTCACTACCAGCAAATTGGATAGGACATGATTTCCACCCACAGTATCTTGAGGAGGAAGATTGTCTGGAACCTGTCTTCGTTATTTATTCTTGCTCATTGTTTGCAATTGCTGTGACGGGGTTACAGCGGGAACTCGTATGCCGCGGCTAGTTATTATGCGCTGGTCCGATCTGCGCAGTAAGTCCGGTTACAATGCACATAGTGTCTAACACTTCGTGAGCATCTTCGACTTAGAGAAGCCATCGACCTTATCTCTTTGACCACCCTGAGATCTTGTGTCTACCCAGAATGATGTCCCGGTCGACCACGCCTGATTTCTGTTATAGTGAGAATCATCGGTTACTTAGCTCTCAAGGTGTAAAGCATATACTGGAGCTTGCTACAGTCAATCTTTCAGCCTATAGGTACTTCTATTTGGTTCTTTGTCAGGTCCAAAATTGGCTGTTCCGATCAGGTACTTGGATTTTTCCGAATTGTCATCTGACGGAAGTTATGCAGTCAATGATGGAGGTCAGGCTGAATTGTTCGCGATTATTTCTGTTAAATAATTGAGGTAAATTAAAGAAATTTCAGACTTAATACACCTAACTCTTCGTGACAAAGTCTGGAGTGAGCCGCCTGTAGACGCCCTCCATGGCTTCAACCTCGTGGTGTCAAGGCATCATAGACTAACTAGGCTAACGACCAGTCGAATCAAACACGGCCGTCATTTCACAGCGGATCACCACCGCTTTTTGCGTGTGTAACTAACCGCCGCACTGATCTGCTGTCAAGCGTCACTGCAACAAGTTACCATCTTAGTTATTATGCGGACATGATAAAACGGCCGCGCAATTGTGCCATCCCTCGTGCCTCGTTCACATAAATGACCACATGCAGTATACCTCCCTTTGGGCTGAATCCAACTGCTACGCTGATGCTGGACAGGTTCACAGAGTGGTGCACGTCTCAAAGTGTTTCGTACCTTCTTGTTTCGAGGTACTGTTGTAATACGGGGTCAACACCACATAATTTCGCGCCTACCGACTAATCACCCATCCCTTCGCTGTTATGCAACCTCAACTGTATGCATGCATTGAGGCACTACAGACGTCACAATACATGCACGTACATTGACGTATATCGACGTCGTAAACTAAACTTCTGTGACACTAAACCACGGATTTTTCACCGCATTAAGTCTCCTGATCGAATTCGTCCTCCGTGCTTACCGTTCAATCCCCACGTGCGACGCTGGCGGCACTTTCTCATTGCGTCTGTCCGGAGATGACGCAACTTCCAATACCGGTCAACTGGGGTGGGCATTGTTTTGAGCCCCGTTTCAAAGCCGCTCTGTTCGACCGGATTCCAATCAACAACTTGGAGTGTACCTTCCGATTGGCCGGCTGGTTCCAGGTTTCGAAGTCGCGCGAGGATAAACGATGCCTGTTTGTCATTGCTGCATACGGGTCCACAAACCGAAGCACAGACTCGGTGGAAGATGATTTCTATCACCAATTTAATGATCTTCGTTACTGTAGAGATACGAATACTGTGGGGCTTGCTGATGATCTTAACGTCCAAGTTAGAAGCATATCCAGTAATGAGCTGCATTTGGACGATCAACAGTGTAAGCTCCTGTACTAATATGGGTGAGCAGTTACTACACCTATGTGAAGATGCTCGCCTATTTCTCGCGAGCACTAACTTTCGACACAAAGCCCACTAGCCTCGGGACAGCCATGGACGCAAATCGGTTTCGTCGCGATCAGTTGCCACTGGAGAGTTTGCGTACAACACTGTCGATCGATTCGGTTCACTAACCTGGACTCCGATCAAGTACTTATGCGCGCCGATCTGCGGATGCGTTCCGGCCATCTCCCGCAACCACTCCGTGAGCGCATAGACTTCAGCCAACTGGCGAATTCACATGTACTGAATGCGTATCAAAGTACATCGGCGTGCCGGCTATATTGAAGACCACTAGTCGTATATTCGCAGGCATGTCTTTATGTTACAAATCAAATTGCTAACCCGAACATTGAGTCTTCAAGCAGTCGCTGAAACTTCTGGAAGCCCGCCGCTACGTTCCGGCTGGAGCGAACACAATGAGATCTCGGGGCGAAACTGCGTGCTATTCTGAGAAGTGCCCACGAATCCTGGTGGTCTCATCATGCGTCGGAGATGGAAACAGCGGATACCGTTAGTAACCATCGAAGTCATTCCGTCTGATGCGGCTAACGGGCAGCAGGTGAACTGAATACTGAATACTGTATTTTGGAGCAAGTAGAAAATAATTCTGTACAACTCCATCGGGTGATAATCAAAG